TTATTTCTTAGCATGCCAATGAAGTGGGGCCATTCCGATCTCCTGAGGAGTGTTGTTCCATTAAGTTGGGTTTTTGACAAAATTTTGGAATCCAGAGACCATTCTGGAGCAAGCCTGCACTGCCAGCTCTTGTGGGCATTAAGGGACAATGAGGGAGAATGAAGTAATGTAAGTAACCTGATCCTATGNCACTTATGTTGCCTTTCCTTAAGGCTAACTGGTGATTGGCTCTGCAGATGTAAGTTTTCAACAACTGCTTTTAAGGAGATGAAGTGATTGAATTGATTTTCATCATCTCCAGATTATAAGGACGTGGTCCTTTCTTGTGGACTGCAAAAGCATGTGAACAGTTTCAGCTTAAAGTCAACACAACTAACTCCTTTTCTTCTAAATGCCACCTTTAGATAAATATACTGGAGAGAACAGGTATTAAAGAATGACTTCAATATGCCTAATATTAAATTCCTATATTTTGTCATTTTCATTAAAACTCCGTGAAGTTTTTAATTTAATTTAAGAAATTAATTTTAACTCATTCCATATGGACAAACCTTGTCCGATGCTTGCAGATAACATGAATATTTCATTAAAATTCACAACTGTGAACTCTGTCTCAGGTCCTGGGAATCTTAATAATTGTCTCATTTTACTCCTTGTCTAAATCTTGAAATGGATATTAAACAATTAAGCAAAAGACTCTTTTAACTCTGAGAACTAAAAGTGTATGGGGACCCTCTGTCTTTCATTTTTATTTCTCAAAATACCAATGAAGCTGGGCCATTCCGATCTCCTGGGGGAGTTTTGTTCCATTAAGTTGGAGTTGTGACACAAATTTTAGAATCCGGATACCATCCTGAAGAAAGCCTACACTGCCATTTCTAGTGGGCATTAAGGGACAATGAGAGAGAATGAAGTAATGTACGCAACCTGATACTATGGCTTTATAGGTAATAACTGGCGCTTTGAAGTATTTGTGTGTAACAATAACTGTAGTATTCAGGCATAAATGGCAGTGTTTACATGTTTGGATCTATGGTATATATTCTATTTTCTTTTGTTTTAAGGACAGTTTCCTGTTACAGTTAAAACAGTTAAGCAGTAAACCACATGTTGACTGTACACATTGTTTAATCTGTGGTTATATAAAAAGAATTTCTAACAGAAGCTAATGCTACTAATACAACAGAAGTTTTTTGACTTTACGTCAGCAGAGATTAATTTGGTTCTGTACTTAATAACGGCAGCAAGACTCTTGGTGGCGCAATATTGGAAGAAGAAAGATTTGCCTACAATTCAAGAATGGACTTTAAAAGTTATAAACTTAGCTGAAATGGCAAAAATTTTCAGCATATCTCAAAGAACATTCAAACGAGAGATATAAACGAGACTGGAAAAAATGGATTGATTATATACAAAGTAAATATAAGAAACTCCAGATAGCTTA